CAGCATAACAGGCTGACAGACATTTTTGCTATAATTATGAAACACAACGAAATCTTTGAGATAAAAACTGAGCATAGGACCTTAGAGTGGTGCAACTTTGTGAGCTGGCTTAAAAGGAGAAAATTCAGACTATATTCAAAATCCAAATGCAAGAAAGTGATGGGTTTTTTAACAGAGGACACATATAAAGTTTACATGATCATGTAGAAGTTAAACATACACTTCAGAGAGGAAAGACAGACGTTTGGGATACAGTAGTTTGCTGTTACATACAAACAAGGCAGTACCCACAAACATGTCAAGAGGATCAATTCACGGAAAACCAGAAGCAAATATTTGTGTGGACTGGACTGTTCCCCTTTTCTCCTGTATCCCTTTTTTCCTACAGTCTTGTAATTATTAAATGCATTGTTATGCTAATAAAGCCTCACTTGAATTAAGCAGTGTAATCTATGTGAGGCTATGCCCAAGACATATAAAAAAGAACAGGATGTAAAAAATCTGCATTTCCAGCAAGTGGCATTTTTACTAGTCCAATGATTCCCACCTGGTGAACAACACCAGCACTTAAATTCAGTTATGGCACAGCACGAAACACAAGTTAATAATGTCTTCTGGATTTATTAGATTGGAATAAAAATTATGAGTGGCATGAGAGAAAAGAAAATGAGACAGAAAAGGAGATTGTAACAAGGCCCATACTATATTTTTGTCTTAAACAAAAACTACAGTATGGGAACTATCATACTGGTCAATAAAATGAAAAAATCAAAATCCAGGATTTTCAAGTTGTGAGATTTTTTAAGCTTTAAAATCAGTGTTGTTTAGTTGCTGAAGGAAAAAGCAGCACTTCGAAGTTCTAATTGCTGAAGTTTTATATGGGCATATAAAGTTATTAAAAATAAGTTATTTTGTTATTTTGAGTAGTATTAAATTTAATAGTATCATTATTTAATGTTATTATTACTTAATTTAGGGCAGTTGCTTGCAAGTTTTTTTAATACTATGAACAAAATTTTCTGTACTAGGGGCCTATCATACCATCCTAATCAAAATATATCAGTTAATTCTGATACTAATTCTGTGGAAACATATTTTTTACCAAGACCTTCTCTTTAGAATTTCTTAAAACCCTGTCTTTTAAAAAAAAGGAAAAAAAATCCATCAAAAATTGGCAAATTTATGATGTCTCCAGAATCGTAATTACAAACGTCCAACAGAGATCTAGGAAAACAGCTGAAATCTTACAGGATACATCTTAATAGCAGATCCTAGAGGCTATTCCAATTTTTAGTACCATTCCAATTGCACATCTGCCACCCTGACCAAATAATTGAGCAGCCAAGGTTTGGTTATACTTGCTCTCTTAAGTAATAGTAGTTTAAGTAAAATCTAATTTTTTAACTACTGCTTTTTACCTGCTATAGAGGTAGCTTAGCTTAAAACCTAGGGTGACAGTTCTCAGAACACTACACAAAAAATATATTGGCACACTCTTATTTGAATACTTCCATGGTCAAGAGGTGGGTAAACACTGGGACTACATCCCCAAGAGCCCACTAAGTAGACACTGCACTCTGATGAAACTTTGCAGAACTAAGTAGGTAAACCCTAACCCTTCACATGTAATCAGTCATTTATGCTAAAATGGGGGGGGAACAAAACAAAAAGGTTTGCTTCAATTGGAGAACAACTGCATGGTAAACTAGGCTCTCTTGACTGAATCTCTTCAAACTAGTAAGGACCTTATACTGAAAAAAGACTCACTGAAGCAGTGGAGGAGTTCGTTAATTCTCTGTTCAAAGCCAGGACCTCACCTTTAAGGTTATCAACCAAAGATTCTCACCATTTGAATCTCTCTGTATAGTTCAGAACCAAAAGACTCTTTAAATGATAGTACCTGTGACCAAGATTCTGAGAAGTAAATCTGCAACCACTTGAAAACAAGTTTGGTAGTGAGGTAAGACACATAATTTCTTTGCTTCTTTGGGGAGGGGAAAAAAAAGCCCCCAAGGCAACTCCCAAACAACGAAGGCAAAGAAAGGACGGGAATTTCAAGCACTTAACCTATGGAGGGCTCTCTAGTTCAGCTAAACAGTAAGAGAAAGTCTATCTCCTAGGGTATACTTCTCTCTCTCTGTGACAACAAGAGCTAAAAAAATACTATGGTATTTCTGTTCCTGACTGCTAAATATGGGGTTTGTCCCATTGCTTTTTGATGTTTATCCTCTGACAGAGGTTAACAAATAGAAGTGATGGTGCACCACTCTTGCTTATTTAACTTTTCCACGTCAACTGATTTTACAGACCTTTGTCTTATCCCATCTCAGTGTCTCTTTTTCAGGCCACGAGTCCTTCACTGTTTACTCACTCCTTATAAAGATGTTCTTTGCCATTGTTCACTGCCATGGCTCTTCTTGTACCTCTTGTGGCATGTACCGTATCTGTTTTGAATAGAAACTGCCCTCTCCTCTTAACATGGACTTTATTTGCCCTCTTACTACCTTGTCAACACAGGCTGGTGAGGTCTTTCAGCAGTTTGTGACAGCTGATCTTCATAATGGTTCATTGCATAACCCATCAGAATCAGGAACCTTGGCATCTGTTCCTCCTCCCTTCCCCAGATCATTTATGAGTACACTGAGCCGCACAAAAGGCCAAGTCTTTCCAAGACACTGATGGCAAACCTCTCCACTGTGGAAACTGAGCATCGACTTATTTGGGTTTTTTTAAATCTTTTCACCTGCTCCTAAACTATGACACAACCTCTCCTTGTATCTCCAGACTGTTCAATTTAAGAGTCTTCAGTGAGTAACAGTGTGTAATGATCTTTGGAAGTGAAAAAAAAAAAAAAAGAGAGAACTTACCAAAGCACCATATTTTTAATTCATTTCTTGAAAGTAATTTCTATCAATTTGTGCAAAAGAGATGTGGTTTTGGGTGAAACCACCTTATATCTTTAGGAAACCAGTTCAGAAGAATTATATAAAAATATGAACTGGCACCTAAAACAACAACTTGTTATTTGACACTGAAATGTATTCTGTGTTGATCTTCACATAGTATTGCTGCTATACATGTACTATACTCATCCTCATACACACACATTAAGCTTGATTTTAATTCTTCATGTTTATATCCACTATCTTAAACCACTGCAGACTCTTTAAAAGCTGATTGCTTGTATGCACACAAAAAGATATATATTTGATACATTCATTGTAAGATTCCCATCATAAAATAAAAAATACAAGAAACAAGAAATATAAAATCATCTTGTCCAGTGTAGCATTCCTTCATACTTGCACACTAACTTTGGTGGCTTTCTCCAACTATAACTTTGTACTCTCTTGTCTTGCTAATATAATCTTGTCCAACTTAAATTCATACAAAATACTATCATAAAGATATTTTTTTAGTTCATTAATTCTACTATGCCACCGTTCTGCACTTCTCCCATGTCTTCCTTACTCCTTCATCATCAAACATGAGCTACATAACTTCATTTGCATGACCTCTCATATACAAAACTATAACACGTCAACATTCATTTGTTATCAAGGCCATCTCCTTTGCCAGGGCTAGCCTTAATTGCCCATTTGTCAAATATCCCAGGCAAACCCTCTGTTCTTTAACTGATACCAGCATTTTTGCATAAAACATGGAAAACTTTACGTATTTTCCTCTTTTAAATCCTTTCTTGATTGGTTCTGATAAAAGACTTGTAAATAAAATTTTTACTACTGGTCATAATATAGTCATTATTACTAAACACTTCCTCAGACTATTTTTTAAAAAAATCTATGTGCTCAACAAAGATGAGACTATGTAATATCATGGGGAACTTCTAGTCACTATAACATTTTCACAACAAATACAATGTTTATTAACCTATTTTCCAAACACATTATGGTTCCTTTTAATATTGAAAATAAGCAGGTCAATAACATGGTTTGCTATCTTAAACTCTTGTGATAGTTTACCTGAGTTGCAGCAAAAACAGTAGTTACAGAAGGCGCAGTTGAAGGTGATAGAGCTCCCACTTGCTGCAAGTGCCCTGAAGCCTGCTGAGGTAAATGAGAACTGGAAACGGGAGTGCTAGATCCTGAGCCAGATACTGCATTTGGAAATGATACTGCTACATCATTGCTGCTAAAAATACCTGAAAAAAATTACAAAAACGATTACATGCATCTCTCTCTCTCCTCCTCCCTTAGTTTTCTAGTAACCATGTAAATATGCAGTAGAAAAATTAATCAAGACAAACAAGATCACTTAATACATAATGCAGAAAGCTCCTGTGTTGAAATTCTAACCATGCTGATTGATAAAAGTGCTCTTGTCATTTGACATTCTACAGTTCAGGGAACACAGATTGATTCAGTTTTAAGTTTTTGTAAAACGTGTGATAAATCAAATACTTATGTGCGTTACAAACTGCTCAAATATTAACAGTAGCAGAATTTTTGGCTAAAATGCCTGCCTTCGGCCGAGTCTGCTATCAGAGCTTGTTCTTTAAATGAATTACTGTTAAGTAAAGAATGAAGTATTGGGCTATATAACTGAACATACACCACACAAATGGAAAAAATACTTTTTAACTTTAAAGTAAATGTTTCTAAACAACATACATTTATCCAAAACTGTAATTTTGGCAGCTAAGGATTGCTTGTGCTTTTTCAGAAAAATTCTGACAGCAAGTCTGAGGACGAAGTACTCAGATTTGCCCGTAGAACTGGTGGTATTTCATTTATTCACAAACAAAAATTCCATCCATGATCTATATGAATGCTTGACTAACATTTCTGCTAGAACAGTCAACAAACAAATGACTAAATACATTAACATTAGTCAGACTTGCACGTTAGCAATTTAAATAGGAAGAGTTCATACCCCTCTGTGAAGCCATTACTTCTGTTCATCTACATGCAGGGTAAAGTTCATTATAGAGGTTGGGAAAAAAACCCCTACTGACCAGAAGCCCAGGACAAGAAGTAGTACCTGTCTATGAAACCGTTAGGCTCCACGTGCATTAGATAAGTGAGCTGTCAGCTGGCCAAGGAATATCAAGCATGGTAGCACTGAACTGCAGTTAGAGGAAGAGTGCCACAGGGAGTAAACAGAAGTAGAATGAACATGGTTAGATCAAAAAAAGCAACAGAACTGAAATGCCAGTTAGAAGGCAAAGGGTGGAGCTAGTTTGTCACTCATACAAATAAGGATTTGAAGAAGGCAGTGACAATAAGAAGATACTCAATGTTAAAACACCACTTGCCACCCAGATATCCCTCTGAGCACAGGCAGTCAAGGGAGACTAACATCCAAACCCACACATAATATGCAAACACTGATGCATCTTAAATTCCCTGCCTCCATTAACTGTCAAGAAAAATGGAAGAGAAAATCAGCCAGTCCCAGTAGAGAAAGAAGATATGAAAAAACAGCTGAAGACACATCCCGACAATACTTTTTTCCTGCCTAACCAAGGTTAGTAACTTGTCATCTTCTCCCCAATCTCTTCATTACAGGTGCAATTCAATACCTGCTCTGCTGTTCTTCTGACTTCTGTATCTTTTTCCACTTAGTCCACCTCCCCCTCCTTGGTTGTTTTTTTTTGTCACCATCCCCAAAATCTACAGTTTGGCACTATTAGCAGTTAAGATCCTTAAACTGTTCACTTTGTGATGATCTTTTCCCAGTTTTATCTGCCTCACCTAACTACACCGTACGTTTTATGGATCCTGCTCTAATTTGTCCCTACACACCACCAAAACGAACACGATTAACAAACAGCCTTGATACTGAGTCTACTCTTAAATGTGATACAGCTACAACCACGAAAGCTGAAATATAGCCCAGGGCCTCAAAAGATTTATCTGCTTTTAATCAGCAATTTCAAATTAATAAAAAGGATGAGATTTGCCCCTTTGTTTTTTGAATACATGAAAACAATTAAACATACAAACATTCTTGAAAAATATTAGATTCTCATGCAATTATCAGGCTTCAGGAACCATACGTTTTAAGAGTAAAAATAATGAAATATCACGACACCTATGATGAAATCATAAGAGCTCATCACCACAAATACTATCACTCTCATAAAATATCAATAGTAATGAGAGGAGAAAACAAAATTTTTGGTGAGAGTCAAGTACTAAAAAAGTAGTAAAAATTTTAAAGCTCTTGTAGATTTTTTCTTAATTTTTCAAAATCTTACACATTTAGTAACTGCAGAGCTTCTGCTGCTTCTATTTTAATGATAAGGTTTATTCTTCCTCTTAAAAATAAAATTCTGGAATACAAGCAGATAGTTATGAAATCACAGGCATAAAAAATATTTCAAAAGAAAAACAAGCAGTAAACTAGTTTGCCAGTGGAATGAGGTAAGCTAATATTTGATGCCAGTAGCTGCGTAGTATTAAAAACACTGTTTGTTGCTGTTGCAAAATACAGGACAAATATGACCTATCTGCACACTCTGTTTGGGATAAGTATTTTTATTCAGCAATACTTTACTTAACACATAAAGTACATGCACCTTCTGGAACTAGTCATGCAACCAAGATATTACTCCATGCGAGCATTCAAATAAGAACTGTATGCTAAAAATACAAATAAATCCTTGATTTTCACGCCGTTTCAAAAAAACTTGTGTAAAAACTAGGTGCATATCATATTAGAAAGCCAAGACAGAACACATTAGAAATGTCTCAAATGCACTAAGTTGTCCTTTGGGGTTTGGGGAGAGATAAATCCCTTTCTGGATCAGGAATGAATAATAACGAAACTCTAAACAAATCACTGTAAACTACATTGATGTTTAAAACAAACCAACCACCTTGACTTTCTTCCCATATTACTGAAAAGCCAAGTGGCTAACACTTGTGATGAATGGCATTGTGTAATTTGCCAGAGGCATAAATAGCATGGTCAAATATAATCTTCAGCATTTTAAAGAGAACACAGTTCTTTCAGCTCCAGGTGGAAACAGAAATGTAACCCTGTTCAGGTAAACTCTGACTGTGCGTAACACCACGAGCACAGCTGCACAACACTGATTTCAGGTTCTAACAGATAAAATGTACATAGAGCCTGCACTGTTGGAGTGAAAGGCTTAAAAAAAGGCAACAAAAAAAAAAAAGGCATCTCTGGACAACAAGTAACTGCCTGTGTAGTACTGTAGAGCAGTACTACAGATAGATAGATAGATAGATCAGATAATGAATATTGGGGAAAAATGCATTCTTTTTTTGCTGACAATCAATGACAAAATAGCTAGTAGAGAAAAAAAAGAACTTCAAGAATAGTGAAAAACAAAACAGCCTCAACTAAGAACCAGCATTGCAGCAACATCCACCAGGTGACACACAGTGATAAAATCACAATTTTAGTGATTTTCTTCAAAATCACAAAAGTAAGTAGTTCCATGAGCATAAGACTTAATATAAGAGATTAAATTCTGGCTTTCAACAGTGTTGCATCTCACAAATGACACTGATACATTAAGCTTTCCCACCACAATTTCTGTATCTCGCTATGAAATCCTCAGTTCTTATTTTCTAGTACTACAGCCCCCTCCGTTATCCCTTACGTTCCCTTCCTATGCTGGTGTGACTGTCTAGTTCAGCAAGACACAAAACAGGCAGTGATTACTTTTGTAGCCATACACTGTCCATTCCTATTACAGGAATTTACATGTTTTAGACTCCTTTTTTTTGCTAAAAATTGGACAACAAACTCAAAGCTTACTGTGGGTCAAAATCAAGAGACAATGTGTAGACTGCTTCCCTAGGAAGCTTGGAAAATGTTCTCCCTAAAGCTGTATTTTCTTTTGTAGGTCAGTAATTTGGAACTCTTGGAACAATTGTGAAAAGAGGAAGTTATCTGAAATATGTCATAGGTTGCTCATCTTAGCATTTTGCCAAAACTTCAGGAATAAGCAGTATATGGTCAAGGAGGTTATTTTTAAAATGTAAACTTACAAGTCCACAAAAGTTGCACAGAACTACAGGACCTTGCTACTTAGGGGAGGACAGATGGACACGGGGCAGGCACAAAAATCTCAAGGGGCCTTATAGCAGAACTCACAATAATAAAAGGGAATTTCAAGTCATAAGAACTTCTTTACAAAAACTGAAGCTATATACACATTTTCAGCACCTTCACTTCCTGTGGTAATCTCAAAAAGTCTCCCCTAAACCCACTGACAACTTTCTATATCGAGCAAAATGAAAAAGTGCCTTTGCATAAAGCAGTTCATTAATTAGTAACTAAACTTGTAGAAAAAATTAAGTTCTGTTATATAAGGACGAACATGTTCTATTCCAGTAAAATTTAACAGTGGAAGAGGTACCCCTCTACGTTACTTTGTAATATGGACATAAACTAAAGTGAATCTAATGCAAAACACAAGCAAATAAAAACAGGTTATTTTGACAGTTGTCCAAAAGGAGAAGAAAGTTGCATATGAAACTGCTGAACTAGCAACAGAATTTCATTTCAGTTTATGAGATAATGAGCTTGGATGCTAAGGATCAATCTATTTCCCTCATGAAGAAACCTGAAATCTAAGAAATTATCAAGCAGTTTTCCTGCGGCTGATGAACAAAGTGGTAAGAGTTCACCTTCAGACAGGTTTCTAAAAGATTCTGCAGTAACATTCGAGAAGTGCACAGTAATGCAAGTTACCAATCTGCAGCTGGATAACAGGCTACCATTCCCCTCCCTTTCAGTAACTGGGCATCCATTTTTGATGGAAGCACAACAGCCTATCACAGATCAACAGTCAATGCCCTCCATTCATGAAAGGCATTCTGAGTACTCTCCATGATGAGGCAGAAGGAAAAAAAGCTCCCAGACTCGAAGTACCCAAAGAGTACATACTGCTGGGGGTAGAGGGGAGGAGGGAAGATACAAGTGTGCAAGTTTTCAAACTGGAACAACTGTTCTAGTTTCATACCTACTGACGGAAGGCAGACTGCCACAATTATTCACTTTGAGAATACTCTATAGATCAGATTTATATACAAAGACCAAAACTCTTGACAAGAGTTTTGAGACAAGAACCTTGACATAACTGAAGAAAACAATTCAACATAGCCAAGTCACATATATAGCAAATACCTGAAGTCTGCTATCAAACTCCATTAAAGTTATCCTCAAATCCTTGACAGCTCAGCCAGCAAAAGATGTTCAGTCAATCTCTTCGGCCTACTCCCATCCCTATGTTCAAAACCCTGACTGTACAGCTGTCTACAGTCAGTCAGAAATGTATTCAATAATGGCATAAGGTTGAAGGATCGGAACTGATCTGTGTAGCTACCAAAATGGTCTACTCTTGTGTTCAGCTAGTCCCACCTGTGAGAGTGAACAATGGTATTTTATACTTGACTCCACGTTCGTTAATGGCCACACATGTCAGCAGTGATATAGAACTCACTCTTCAATAAATTGCAACAGTAAGGAACTCATATACCAGCGAACTAATATGAAACAACACTTACAAGTTGCTTAGACCAAGCTCAGTCAGTGCACAGCCTTCAATTAGTCTTTTATTTCCACATGCAGATTTTTAAGTGCAACATTTCAAAACTGCCTAAACCTCTGTCAGAAAGGTTACGACTTCCTGGTGCAGTGTGCCTTTTCCCACTTCCAATTATTCCAAGCTGATACGGGTCTTACACTACAGCTCTCCACTGCAGAAGGGCTCAAACCCACATTTTTCATAGCCAACTCAAGATGAATTTGCTCTCTGAGAGAAAAGGTTTAAACGTGACACAAGAAGACAGGTGAATGACATGCTGATCTAGGAACACTGGGAGAACTGTGTCATTTTTCTAGCCCACTGTATCTGTCTCTAACAGTGAACAATAATAGCTACCAAAGTACACAAAAAAAGGGCAAGCATGTAGTAATACTTCCCTCAAATGTTCTCCCAGTCTCTAGAAATCTATAACGTATGGACTTTGAGCTTGAGGAACAGTCTTTGTAATTATTAGCCTTAAATTTGCTTCTAACCTTGTCCCAGTGAATTTTTTCCAATCCTTTCTGAACAGCTGTAACTTTTCATACCATGCCTCATGGCAAAGTTATACCTTAGTTAAACTGTGCAGTCTTTTTTTGATAGTGTAGCAGTGGAAGATAGCTGACAGAGGGACAAACCTCCTTTCATTTCTTTCCTCCAGGTGATCCAGATGATTTCCCACAATAATCACTGAAATGCTTTATAACTGCCTGTTTACATTTCATAACTAATTCAGCTTTATGAAATAAGATGCATTGAGGATTTCATCCCTATTCTAGTCTGATTCAAAATGTTTTGAAGTACTGTTCCAGAATAGAGCACTAAGATAAAGAGCTCCATGATTGTATCTGAGACACATATGCTCAGAACTACAGGAAAGACCTGTAGTTCAAGTGTGTCACAGCACAGAAATATCTTGTAAAAGAAAAAGCTGGACAGATATGGAAGAACAATTGATAAAGATCTTAACTTTTATGTAGTTGTTCACTTTCGTACGGTGAGCCAATACTTACAAGCCTAAGTTACTTAAGTATGACAAACTAAAACCAAAGCAGTTCTAACCTCACCTAGTGAGTTCCCTGAGCAGGAGCATGACACTTGTGATCTACATTTCTTAATGATTTCCAGAGAAAATTTACCGTGTTTGCTTAAGATCTCTGAAAACACACCATAGCTTCAAACTCTTCTGACAGCAATCTACCTCAGTGCTGAAATGGTGAGTCACTGGAAGCACTAGATTCCTCTTCACTGTTCACAGAATACAGTCTTTTACTGGAGTTTCTACCTCTGAAGTTCTCTCTTTTGGATTCCAGTGGGAAGCTGGGAGAGGGGAGAACAGCTCTTGCCCAAATTGGTGAAAGACTACAAATAGCTGTCATTAACAACAGCTAAAGCTTTGAAGTGGTATTCTAGAATCTCATGGACAGATAGCTATCCTTAAGGTTGTAATATTTTACAACCAAACAATAATTACTCAATACTCCAAAAAAATGTCCATAAAGGAACTATTTCAATTACTTTGTAATGTGCCCTTATCTTGTTCTTTTTTTACAATTTACATAGTTTAGCTGAGCACTATTGTTTCTATGCTTCAATAGAGGCAGATGCCTTTTTATCAACACTGAAAAACTCTGCCCAATTTGGGCTAGATTCCAAAATCTTAATTCATGCTCAGTACAGATTCTGTTTAGTTCAGGTTATCTTGTTAAAAAAATCATACCATATATATTAAATTTTGCCTGCACAGATGCAGAGGCCAAAGGCTACAGAACTGAAGTTTCTTTGGAAATGCGTTGTCTTCTAAAGCCAATCACAGCACCTGGACTTGGCACAATGGATGTCTGTTCTGTGCTACAACTCTCCTCACTGCAACTCAAAAACTAGCAAGACAGAACAACCAAAAACAAAAACCTGAAAACAGCAACAGAAGTATGAAATCAAACAGACAGAAGACAGAACAAGCAAGAACAGAAGTAGCCACAGAAAGGCTACAATAAACATTACAATTTACAGCTAACTCTAACATAAAATAACCAGGTCATTGTTTCCCATAGTCTCTTTTTAAAGTATGCATTAAAATCATCAACAGACATGTACGTCTGTACTCCTCCTTGCTCCTTTTCAGTAGTAGGCCCATAAAACAAGAAATGAGAATGAAAGGCCAAGTCAAAAAAGTTTGACTGTAAGGTCCAGAGTAAGACTGAGAAGGACAAAGGACATTGTTATCACACAGTGATTAGCAGGGAAAACTTCACATCTCTCAACTGCAATTTTTGTGAGGTTTTTTAAAAGTTTTTGAAAAAGCATGAAAAATACAAGAAGTTGACCATAAAACCACAAAACAGAGCACTGAATATACGAAGTCTCTTACTGGCAAAACTGCAGTGTGCCACTGTCTGCCTTGAAGTGTCTTGACTCCTTTCTATAAAGGCAGGCACCTTACCAGAAGGATACAGTTTGCATGGCTCCATTTTCTAGTCCTCTTTTTCAGGACTAGACCCTTTCAAACCACGTTCAACACTTCAGCTATTATCTTTCCTCCTTTACAGTTTGTCAGCACCAAATTTCAACTGACAGGCTTTGCCCACCACCTGTACAGCATAACTATCACAAACAAACCTCTCTCCTCCAAACTTCTATTTGTCTCCACTCAAAATAAAACAGTTTTTCTTTCTGGTCTTTTACTGCTGATATGCAGCAAGCTTAAACTCAGTGCAGTGGAAAAACAAGCTCCTGATACAGATGCCGTCAAAACCTCTTACTGACAGTGACACAATCCTCAGGACTGCCTAACTCATAATCTGAATATGCTGTTGGAGTAAATGATCTTCCTTTATTTAAATATTTATCTCAAGCTTAAACACTTTATTTTCATCCTATATACATACATGACAGGATCTTTCCTTGCTGTTCATATTTTCAAAATTTCTACCTACCCTCCTTGATTTCACCCATATATATATATGCTTCTACCAAAACAAGAGCCCTGCAATATGGGGGGGGTGACGGGTGGTTAGGGTGGAAGAGTAAAAAAAAAAAGCCCTGCAATACTGGGAGAAAAAAAAGAAACCAACTTAAACCTGGGAAAGTACCATGAAACATTACTACCACCCCCAAAAAAGGTAGGTTAAATGATAAACCCTGTCCAAACACCATTCTAAAACAAACATGAAGATTATGCTGCTCCACAACAGTAAGTCATATAAAGCATTATTACTGCTTGGCAATGTATGTTCTTCTAACATCTATGCTATTAGTTTAAAAAAACAAACAGTGCAATGTGAAAAGAAGTCACAAATGGCGTTCCATCCATTTCTATTCTGTCCTCTGCTGTGAACCTATACCTCCTCAACATTAAACAGCAAAAAGGCTCTGCTTATAAAATAGCAGAAACTCACCAAGTTCCAAATTCAGCACACTTTGTCAGATACCCTTCAGATGTTTTATTTTTGTTCAGAAAAATGGTGAGCTTGCTTTCCTTCATCTCAAAGCTGGTGCTTTGTATACCTGGGAGAGTGAGAGGGAAACCCTATATCAAAAGGCAAAAAGCTAGACCTATTTTACTAAAGCAAAGCAAATCTAGAGAAATTTCAATATTTCTCACCACATGTAGACTATGAAATATAAATTAAATGTAATATTATTATTTAAGAGACCCACTACTGTAGACATCTGCCTAACAGATGTAATTCATAGCTCTGACAGTGTGAAAAGCAAAACCTTAATGATTTGTAGTTTAAAATGCTAAGAACTTCACCATGCAAAGTTTCAAACATATAAATTCGTTTCCATATGCTGAACTACAAGTCAATATAATACAGTGTATACAGCACTGCTCTTCCAACATACTGGCAGAGCAATAAGAAAATTTCTATTTGCCTGACACCAAAGGATAAAAAATTCCTATTTTTATTAACAGATCACCTGACACCAATTAAATATCACACTGGGAAATAAACTTGATCATCTTCAAACTAGCCTCATGAGAGAGTTTAAAATCTTTCAGTAACTTGTAAAGATGATGTAAAGATGGTTGTTTCTTACAAATAAACAAAGCCTTGAAAGAGTAAACCAAGTTCTAATTTAATAAGATATATTTCATTTCCACTTGCTATCAGTACAAAGCCAATACTGAATACTAAAGGGAAGCTGCAATTAGATCCATTAAAGAGTCAATATTTCTCCCTCTGAAACTGATAGTTCTGTTATCAGTGACACAAATGAGCAGCATCAGGCTGTCAGAACAAAGAATGGACAAAACAAGGCTACCTTCACATGTATTACTTGTAGTAATTTAAGTAGTCAGGAAGGCAAGTGGGAGAATGCCTGAGGTAGACACCACTATAACACACCTATGAATGGAGCACTACAGAAGAACCAGAAACACTATTCACAAAATTAAAGAAAAGAATCTCAGAACTGGAATAAAACTGCTATCGTTTTACTTCACACACACAAAAAGATCATAAAAAGAGAACTGAGGAACTATTGACCTATCAGGCTCCTGCAGACAATCTACAAAGTTTTCACTCAAGTACTGAACAATTGACGCACTGCAGACCTGTATTTCACTCAATCCATAGAATATGCAGACCTTCAATCAGGCTTTTCCACAAAAGGCTACCCTTTGTGATAAATGAATCTCTGAAAAAGATTCTAATATAACTTACCATTATGTATGGCATTCATCAACTTCGAGAAAGCTTTTGAGTTAGGAGAAAAAGGGCTTCATGTTAAGATCATGTTTAACAGACACACAAAAGAATATATGTATAGACAGGAATTGCAGTGAACAATAATATACCTGAATACATCTTTCTTGTATTAGAGCTCTGATCATTTACAGTAGCTCAAATTGTAAAATGGATTTATTTCTATCCACTATAATTTTTTACTTATATTTCTTTTATCAGTGTTGGTTAGATTTTAAATGTCAAGTATAAGAACATTCCAGCACACACCAATTAGCTGCATTCTAAAGCTACTATTACAAATAAAAATTCAAATACTTTCAGAGGCAATCAATCCTCCCAACAAAAGACTGATTTCAATTTCATTGTCTGCAACAAATTTAAAAACTCAAACGAAGTTGCCTTGCCAATTTTAATCACGAGGCATCTGTTTTGCTTCACTGATAGACTGAGACAAACTCAAGCAATCAAGAAGTTTAAAAGAAAATGGTTGTGTCCCCTGGACTTCAGAGAGCTCAGTTCAAGAACAACTCAGATACGCAGAGAGAAAGAATGTACAATTAGTGGTACACCAAAGGAGATGCTCACATGAATTTCCTTTCCTTCAAGGGTTGGGGTTTTCAGAGAGTATTGATCTCTGATCCTGAAGTGCCAGAGCACACTCACATCCTCTGCTCAGTAGCTGGAAGCCTCTAACAGAGCCTCTGCAGCATCACGACACTTTAATGCCCAGTTGTAGAGTGGTGACAGTCATGCTGGCCCTCTTACACTTATGCCACCAGTTTATTCCTGATTAGGATAATGACCTCGTGACTACAGAATTATTTTAGTTTCAGTTTACTTCAGTTTTTCACACTACTAATGAACAAATCCCTCAGCTTACACATCTGGTGTGACAAGATGACTGAATGAAGGATTTTACAAGTGAGTGTGGTGAGCACCTCTGTCATACTTCCATGGGTGCATTTTCTACCTGCATCAGCCTCTGAGGTCTAGCTGTAATGACTGTTCATCTTCCAACAGGGTAATTGCCTTGAATGCTTTATTTTTCTTCTTTGCTCTCATCACCATTGGAAACTATTGAAGATTGCTGTTACAACCCATTTTTTAACTGCCAGGCTATTCTGAACATAAGGATTTCAAAAAAATGAATAAACAATAAAGACACCTTAAACTTCTGTCATTGACACTCAATTTTTACAAAACTAATTCAGACATAATTTTAAAAGAAAACAAAATAAAACAAAATAAAACAAAAAGCCTTGACTTCTACCTATTGATTCAAATAACTAGTCAAAGGTATTTCAATGGAAAAACTTTTAAAATTTCAAAAAACTTCAATTAAAGCTTTACATACAAAGTCTGTGCTGTAAAAAATACAGTTGGATTTTTTTTTCATTTTGTGGTACAGGAAAAGAATCCACAATATATAAAATCCTGAATGAATCTTGACAAAAGTGCATTAATCCAATAAAACTGAAGCTGATAATTTTAATTAACTTTCCCAACAGTTTTCAGAGAACTAACAAAATGTACAAGAATATACTTAGAAGCAAAACTTTACACAGAAAACATATTACTTAAATGCACAGTTACTAATGTCTGGAATCATATACATTATACTATTTGGACACATTCTGTCTCAGGTGCAGAGAACAGAATGCAACTGCAGTTTGTCACCCTCAGCAGCAGAATCGTTTCACCCACACCTACTCCTTATAACCTTTATTTATTATATCAGTTTGTTCCAGTATGCTCAACTTTTGTGCACAAGAAATAACAGCCATTTTGATCCACCACCACTTTCGATATTAAGGAAAGTCCCTTTCAAATTTAAGGAATAATCGAGTAGGTTTGGAAGGGGGCTTGGGGGATGGTGGTGGGTGGTTTTTATTTTATTTTATTCAAACAAGCTCAGCCCTAGATTGCCTGAAGCTACAACCTTTTGCTTTTGTTTCTTTAAATCTGTACCACATGGGAGCTATCATTAACCCAAGCAACCACAATACAATGAGCATCACTCAAGAGGTATGAGAAATTTTTAAAGCAGAATACACCAGATATGCCACAATGCTAAATGTATTACTACAACATACACATTTCGTAGACAAATGAGGAAGAGATGCTGTTAAAGACCTGACAAAACAGTTCAGTAGACCTAGACAGCAACATGAGGTTAAAACAGCACTTTTCTGGCAACTCAGTAACACAAAGTAGGAGAACAGTAAAATAAAGCAGGGGAAACAAAGTGCAGTAGCACTTCCAACTGCAGCTACTAAATGTGGGGGGAAAACTTCTTTTTAACACTGACAGTATATACAGTCCTTAAGAGAACAATGCCAATTGGAGGACACATGAATTACACTCTAATAGTCTGCTACCGTGCAGAAGGAACTTTTTGCAATAATCATGTGCTTCAATGAAATAAATATGTGAGGAAAGGATTCACAACTTTGATTCTTACTTTCAAAGTTCCTTTTTCTGGAATCCTTCAGATTTCCAAAAGGAAGTAACAAAACTATCATGCAATGATGAAAAAAAAAGACAAATATGGTGTTTCAAATCATCAGAAGAGAACAGAAAACAAAAAGCATAATTATGATACTTTAAAAATTCATGTTGCACCTGTATTTCAAATACTATCTGCATCTCTTCGAAGAGGATATAAGTAGCACTAAGAGACATCTAGAACAGTTAGGAAGGATATATAGCATGAATGACAAAAATGTCTTAAGATATATAGGTCTAAAAATGGTAACAGGGAAATTACAGACTTATCAATTATAAACCCTGTAAAGATGCTGAACACTTTTAATGATTATTCACTGTATTCAGAGAGGTATCAAAACATGATCAGCAACAGCTGTGGAAAAAGTACATCCTTTGACAACGCATAAAGATTTGAAACTCACTTCTCACTTTTCAGGTATTAACAGCATAAATGGCTTCAAAAATTATTACACAAATTCATGGAAGAGACCAATTAATGGAAAAGATCGAGAGCTGCAGATATCCAACTTTGAGAGATACGTAAAGGATCCTAGTAAGAAAACACCCCGTTTAACAGAATTCCTTTAAAACACTGTTCTAACACAGACCTCATCCAGTTACACGAGGAAAGGCCAGCACTTGATCCATCCTCCTTGGGACTGATGGAGCTAATTCTAGACTCTCCCCAAGCCTCAGCACAGAACAGAAGGAGAAGTGTTCCCCTACCACTATTCCCTTCGACACTCCATAAATCAACAGGAGGCAGATGAAAAAAGGTGTTTTATTCTGGAAGGAAAAAAGAGCCACTGTCTTGGTTCCTTGGTTCTATAACTGCCTCTGTTGGCAGCTATGTCCTTCCTGACTTTCCTGTGCCCAAGCACCCTCCCAGCCATCTAGTTTTCTCCTACAATTTACAGCCAAGCTATGGAACTCCAACATTCTAAGGTGTCAAGAAAGGTTAGATATTGTGAATAGTAACTACATATATGCCAAAAAACTACATGCTGTAATAGATGGACTTCACATTCTTTGTTTTCCTTTATTTTTCATCTCTGCAGCCTTCTGCACTTTCCTCTTAGTCCTGGCTGAATCCTTCCTCTCTTTATCCACCCCTTATGATAGCTACTGTTGCTTGCTTTATTTAGAACCTCACAATTACTCTTCTTTAAAATCAGTTCTGCTCAGAAAAAACTTTGGTGCTTCCAGTTCATTCACTTTAGTTTCAAAACATCTCTGAACTGACTGTGTAGTAATACCTACACACAAGTCACCATCCTTTGGCCATTTGTTACTTGGTTTTAAGCGAGTTGGTTATGCATACAAAAACTAAATTTCAATTCTAAGCTTATCACTACTCCCACAACAGAAAAAGAGCCTAGTAACTTTGTGCCTTGAAAGCGTGTCACTCAATCCCTCAGATTAGACATTTGCCCAGGACAGTTATTATACTTTAAGAGAATAAAAAAAACTCAAACCAACCAAAACAAAACAAAAAACACTACACTCCGAACAAACAAAACAGACAAAACCCCCCCCAACAACTCGAATTTGAGATTCTTATGTGAAAGTTAACTATAATGACAGCTTATGAGCTGCTTTTTCATTTGTTTAGGAGAATGGGGCAATGGGGGGGGAGGGCCTGCTTGGGGTTTTTCGATTGTTTGGGTTTTTTTTTTTTTTTTCTTTGTGGAGTTTGGAGTTTATTTACTTGGAACCTCTGGTCATTCTTATCAAGAAATCCTTCTCCTAAATGTTCAAAACAAATAAACAGTAAGAAACAGAAATAAAAGCAAGCCAAGTACAAAGGATCTGACAGGATTACTCACACACAAGCCCCAGCTGCATGTTCATATTCTTCAGCTCTGTTACCAGATTCCATGAATCTGTTCTCAACTCAAATTTCTAGAGCTACACAGGTCCAAACACCATAGGTGCTCACTCACTCTTTCTTGACAAAAATTTTCCTTTTTTTTCCAGTTACTTAGTTAAATGAGAACTCTCTTCAGAAACTTTTTACCAGTGTAGGTAATTCTCTCTCACAAAAACATATGCAGCAAGTTAGATCACTGTCAAAATCAAGTTTTCTTACTGCTATCCTTATGGCCTTCTCACAGACACCTCACATATCTACCAGATCTCACACTGAAAGATGAAGACTTCTATTTAAACGCTGGATAAAAAGTATATAAAGAACAATATAAAGTAATGAGTCTGCATCTAAACTAACTGTTAAATCCTAGTTTACTTCAAATGCACAAAAAATTTGCTTTAAATTCAGGATCAGATAAGAAGTAGCTTTTCTAACAATACAAAATAGTTTATTTCACTATTTCCAGAATTACCACCACAAAAGCCCTGATAAGAACTGCCCTGATCAGTATTTTAATAGCACATTTTGTGTATATGGCATACCTGTATATCAAGCTCCTACAGCACTTTTTCAGGTATGCCTAATGCTCCTGAAAGAGAGGTTTATTTGACTAACCTGGAAATACAGTTTTGGCTTACCTGTGCTAATGTTCTGCACTTTATTTATGCTGGGGAGGGTTACTAAAAATGAGCTCCCACTCAGGTGTATGAACACAAAGATCTTGCAACTACAGGTAACGTTTGTGCAGTATCAGGTAGTGCCATACAGTGAAAAGGCACTGGGACACACTGTCATTTAGTGTACCTAAGACACGTCTTTACATCTAGACTGACACTGGATTCCACAGTTTCCCTTTTTAAAGTGTTTTTAATAAAAATGCTATTGAAATCTTCAGTTGTACTTGTAAAGCTATCCCAGTTGGTTCCTGCCATTTTAAGTGCAGCTGGAAGTTCAGACTGTCATCAGCCATAGCACATGGAACTGCCCAGGGACCACCTGACAGCAAATACCTCACTACACAGCAAGAACTGTTGTGGGGCACGAGCTGCAGTGTGGTACCAAGTGACACTACACTACCACAGCTTCAGAAAGCTGCTGTTCTTAGTCCTATCACATCCATATAACCTATTTTAGGAAGTAAAACAAATTACTTACATAAAAAGGAATCATAAGGAAATGTGGACTTGATAATCAGACACTTGGCCCTATAATACCTGTTTTAAAAAGTAGTATAGGTCCTATACATGAATCTGTCCAATATAAGTCTGAATGGATTTGTCCCCAAGCAACATCTTTCAGTGAAAAGCTCCATTATTTTAAGGTAACGAGTCTTTTGTATACCACTGCATTATGTTAGCATTTCTATTTAATTTTTTTGTTTTCTGTTTAAAACTTTACAAGGGAATCTAAGCAATTATTATGATAATCAATAACAGCTCTGGATATCACAGCCTCTCCTCAAGTGTAATCCTAAACCAACCTTCAGTCAGTTTAACTTCTGGTACTGCAGCTCTTCACATCAAATAAATGGAAAATGTAAATGCAAAGTACACTTCCTTCTGATTTTAAAAACCTGACTGTAGTGCTGTCATCTCTGACTGACGACAACAACAAAAAAAGAATTTCACCATATGAATTGGACAGTCTTCAGAAGGACAAAGATGCTTCAAGAACT